ACAGAATCAGACTCACAGATACAGACAGTGGTTACCTGAGGGAAGAGGGGTGGCAGGGAGCAAAATAGGTGAAAGGGATTAAGAAATACCGATGACCAGTTGTAAAATAAATAAGTCACAGGGATATAATGTACAGCACAGGGAATATAGTCAATATTTGACAATACTTTGTTATGGTGAGTAATCTATAAAAAATATTGAATCACTGTGTACTACACCTGTAACTAATATAACATTGTAAGTCAACTATACGTCAATTTTTAAAAATTGTTAGGTGTTCAAGGAACTTGGAAATACATACATACAGGGAAAAGATGATACAGTATAAGGAAATCCATAAATTTTTAAAAATCATAAAATTAGCATTTTCAATAAAGAAATTTTACTATGGGTATCATAAAGATGGTTGAGCATTAAAGATAAAATATAATGTTTGGGAATTTGTGTGTGTGTGTGTGTGGTATGCGGGCCTCTCACCGTTGTGGCCTCTCCCTTTGCGGAGCACAGGCTCCGGACGCGCAGGCCCAGCCGCCGTGGCTCACGGGCCCAGCCGCTCCGCGGCATGTGGGATCCTCCCGGACCGGGGCACGAACCCGTGTCCCCTGCATTGGCAGGCGGACTCTCAACCACTGCGCCACCAGGGAAGTGTCTGGGAATTTTTTTAAACGTAGGAAAGAAGGAAATAAGAAATTCTACGAAAATCATATCCAATATGAAAAAAGAAAATAATTCAATGTATCAAGGTAATAGCAGATTAGATATTGCAGGATAAATTTTTGGTAAACTTAACAATGTAGTCATAGGTGGGTTGAGTCAGAGATTACGTTTCAAGCCTGGCCATTGTTAAATGATCTGAAGAGACAGCTCTAGTCCGAAAATTTTCCAGGAAGCCCAATTCCTCCCTCGGCTGGGCCCCCCACACTGACTTTTTTAAGGGAAGAGCCTGAATGAGTCACCTCTCCGTCCTGTGGTCAACTCGTACACGACACTAGTTGGGCCGCCATCATAACATCCCGTGTGCTTTTCAGGTTTGCTGGGTCACCGCCTTCTGTTCAGCAGCAGTACTGTGCTGCCCACCATCACCAGCCTGGCGTGTCTTGGTGGGTCCTGGAAGGGAAGGAAGGCAGGGAACACCCTGGTGGACACACTGGGCTGGAACACTGAGTCCTCCGCAGAAGAGAGCCCTGCTTCCATGGGGGCAAGGTGGACCTTGATGGCTGAGTTCATCTTCAGCTGAGCACAGTCCTAGCCAACGAGGCTCCCAGGCCAGGTGGAAGCAGGAGTGGGGGGCCAGGTCTTACGTGAGATGGACTGTCCCTCATAAGTCTTTCTTTCCAGGGTTCTTCTTGGTCCAGAGGATCCGGGCACAAGGGGGTGAGTCTTTTCCACAAACCTTGGGTTGCCATCCGCCTCAAATAAGACCTTCCTATAATAGGAGGGGATATAGCACAGAAGGTAGGGTGATGGGTTGACGGTGGGAAGTCATAATAATATGAGGGTGAGTCTCTTGGGAAGTCGAAAGTGAGGGCCCAGGAAAGTCTAGCCCCCGATTCTGGTCCAGAAACCCTTCCTAGACACTCTTCCCTCTGCTGAGCCAGGCTCTAGGGCACCAACAGAAGGCTGTGATGCTCAGACCTAGCGTGTCTGGGAGGAACTGGTGTATCTCTAGAGTGAGGGAAGGAAGCAATGCCAGAAACAACAGACCCTCAGAGGACAAGGCAATAACTCAAGTTCTCCAGCAGTTCCATGAGAGGAGGCACTGCGGGGTACTACTGCTGCTGTCCTGCTTTCAGAAGAGGGGGAGAACCGTATACCACGCCCCTGAGATTCCAGGATGTTGTGCTGTAGGCTCCATCGTGTCGTGTGTTTCTCGTGGGAGCTGACATCATTTCACTCAACGCAGGTTACTCTTCTATTCATTGTCTTGTTTTATGCAACTAATTTTACATTATCAACATGTAGTAAGAGTCCGCTAGTCGGCACCTGCTCAAAGTTCTCAGCAGATGTTTTTCTTGTAGGAGATGCCACGTCTCTGTGGCGCAGGAATCTCCATGGTGCATGGGTTCCCCTGGTTTGGAAAGGAGGCTTAGAGACGTGGGAAGGAGGAGGAAGCTGTGAGCACAGGGAGGGCAGGGGGCTCCCCATTTTCCTCTCTAAGCTGTGTCTTCCCCTCCCCCAGGTGGTCAGGACAAGCCCTCCCTGTCAGCCCGGACGAACCCTATGGTTCCTCAAGGACAGCATGTGACTCTGCAGTAGACCCCCATCTCGGCTTTGACAGGTTCAGCCTGTACAAGGATGATGGAGCCCACGTCCCTGGGCTCCCAGACATAATATTTCAGAACAGCTTCCTCATGGGCCCTGTGACCTCAGCACATGCAGGGACCCACAGATGTCACGGTTATTACAGTCACTTCCCCTCTGTGTGGTCGGCACCCAGCGAGCTGTGGTCACAGGTCAGAGAGCTCTTGTCCAGGATGGCTACCCGTTGAGCCCATCTTCCTAATCCCAAAGTTTCCTGGTGGAAGTGTCAGTCAGGGTCCAGTCAGAACAACAGGAAATGCTCCAAGTATTTTAGATAAAAGAGTATTTAATGCAGGAAATTGTGTACTAGAGTGGGCAGAATAATTGTACCCCGTGATGTCCACATGATAATATTCCAAATCTATGAATGTGTTATGTTACATTCCAAGGGAAACGAAATTGGACATGGAACTAATGTTGGTAAGCAGTTGACCGTGAGATGGGGAGATTATCCTGGATTATCCAGGTGGGCTCAGGGTCATCACAAGGGTCCATTTAAGAGAAAGAAGGAAGCAGGAGAGTGAGCATCAGAGTAATAGCGCATGAGAAGGACCCCAGCAACCAGCGCTGGCTTCGAAGACAGAGGACAGGGTCATGACACAAGGAATTCGAGCTGCCTCTCCAGGCTGGAAAAGGCACAGGAACTGATTTTCCCCTAGAGCTCCAGAAGGGAACACAGCCCTGCTGACACCTCGATTTTAACCCAGTGAAACCTGTGTCAGACTTCTGACTCCAAAACTACAAAATAATAGATTTGTGTTCTTTTCAGCCGCCATGTTTGTGGCAATTTCTTACAGCAGCAATAGGTAACCAATACAGGTATCCAGGTGAAGGATAAGTTAGGAAACCAAACAGGGGAAGTGAGGCTACCCAGCAATAGGTAAGGGCAGGATGCTGGTGCCACCACTAGGCCGGAGTGACATAAGCAGGGGGCAGTGTTCATAGTGCCAGTCTCAGGGGTGCCCCGTGGAAGCAGGGACCATGGAGAAGGCACGGACATGGCAGGAGATGAGCCCCTGCCCTGCCCCCCATCCACAGGCACAGGCTGGATGGACGCTGAGAGGTGCTGTAGTCCCTGCCTTACTGCTTAATTTTTACCTCCTACCAGGGGTTCTGATGTGTCAAAAAGAACATGAACCTGGGGGCTTCCCTGGTGGCGCAGTGGTTAGGAATCCGCCTGCCAATGCAGGGGACGCAGGTTCGAGCCCTAGTCCAGGAAGATCCCACATGCCGCGGAGCAACTACGCCCGTGAGCCACAACTACGGAAGCCGTGCACCTAGAGCCCGTGCTTGGCAGCAAGAGAAGCCACTGCAGTAAGAAGCCCGTGCACCGCAACGAAGAGTAGCCCCCGCTCGCCGCAACTAGAGAAAGCCAGCGTGCAGCAACAGAGACCCAATACAGCCAAAAATCAATAAATTAAGTAAATAAATTTATTTAAGAAAAGATAAATAGGGCTTCCCTGCTGGCACAGTGGTTGAAAGTCCGCCTGCCGATGCAGGGGACACGGGTTCGTGCCCCAGTCCGGGAAGATCCCACATGCCGCAGAGCGGCTGGGCCCGTGAGCCATGGCGGCTGAGCCTGCGCGTCTGGAGCCTGTGCTCCACAACGGGAGGGGCCGCAACAGTGAGAGGCCCGCGTACCGCAAAAAAAAAGATAAATAATTTCTAAGGCTCCAATGTATAGCATGGTGAGCATAATTAACGATACCGTATTCTATACTTAAGAGTTGCTGAGAGAGTAGATGTAACCACACACACACAAAAAGAAATGGCAATTATGTGAGGTGGTAGAGGCATTCGCTAACGCCACAATGGACCTCGTTTTGCAGCACCGAAGCGTATCAAATCAACATATTGTGCACGTAAACTTACACAATGTTATGTCAATTATACCTCCATAAAGTTGAAAAAAAGCGATGCCTTGCAATGAAAATGAGACAGCCAGTAGAAAGTTTGGTGTGAAATATTTGACTTCTCATACTTGAATAACTAGTAATAGCCAGGTATCTGTAACCAAATTTATCGGTCTGTCTATCTGTCTGTCCATCTGTCTATCTACCTACCTACCTACCTACCTATCTACCTACCTATCTATCTAATCTATATTCTCTATCACTCCATCATCTATCTATAGATTACAGGTTTAAATATAGATACAGATATAGGACGTTCTTTCTTTAGAGATGGTGAATACCTCCTGAAAAAAAATTCCTCTGCATGCTGGCATTGAGATAATCCAAAGCATAAGAGTACACTGCCCGCCTGACTGAGCCCAAACTTGGTCCATGAATTCCGGGGAGGACATGTGGATCCGTAACAGCCAAGGTCACTTGGCTTTTGACTGATGGATCAATGAAGAAATACCTCTGTCTGTATGGCACCCATCTAATATTCTGTCCCAAGCTCTTCCATTTAGATGTGGGATCTTGTCCAAAGAAGGATTTGAGCCCCATTAGACATTGGTTAAGGAAAACACTCACTTCTCATCTGAAACACAAACAGGGAGATTGATCTCCTCTTAGACTCCACCCAAGAGCTCCCCAGAATGAAGTTCTTTGGGAAGGAACCATTCCTGTGGAGCAATAGATGTAGAAATTCTCTGATGAGGAACTCTGCTGTCACATTTCCTGTGGATCTTACTGTCTCATGAGAATCTGTCATCTGCTGATGTGCACCATCAAGCAGCTAACAGGGCTGAGGCTGGCTGTGTCGAACCATGGCCCCCAGAGACACCACCCTCTTCTGCCTCGGTGAGTCCTCAAATGCAAGTGGGTTACAGGGAAAGATGGGGGGATCCCCAAATAGTCAAGGTCTCTCTCAACATGAGAACTCAGTGATTTTAGGAGCTGCCGAGAAGATTATCATCTCCTTAGTGGAGAGAGACGGTCTTTGCCCAGGTATCTGTAACTGCATCTGCCCAAGTCCCAACTCCATGCTAGCCTGTAAGGCTCCGTGATCAAGTGGTAAAGTTGACCTTGTGGGGTTCATTCAACCCACACCATGCTGTCTGGAGAGCCATGGTGGTTCCAGAGTTCCTACAGATGAGAGCCTCAGGGCTGGAATCTGGAAGATAAAACTAAAAGATGAGTCTTGTTTACTATGTTTGCTGTAAAAGAAAGAAAGGTCACCTGTGGGACTTCCCTGGCAGTCCAGTGGTTAAGAATCCACACTTCCACTGCAGGGGGTGTGGGTTTGATCCCTGGTCTGGGAAATGAGATCCCACATGCCCCGTGGTGTGGGCCAAAAAATAAAATCATTTTAGAAAATGACACCTGTATGTCATTATGTTGGGTGATTTATAATAAAGACTGGAAATGTGCGGATTGAGTTTTCCATGAATGTCTCTCTTCCAGTGCTCTGTCTTGGCCAGAAGATTCAGGCACAGGATGGTAGGTGTTCCCCTAAGTTTCCTCCAGTCCCCCTATATCCTCATGGCAGCTCCAGGATAGAAGAGCAGGAGAAACAGTCTAAAGCCCAGATGAATTCCAATTTTATTCTTTGTTCTGGCTGTCTCAGCTGTGCTTCCCTTGCATAACTTCCACCTCACTTTGGTATCTTGGGATCCCTCAAGCTCATCGTGCTCAGACCTGGATTTAGCCTTCGCCTCTGTTAGGCTGACTGTCCATCAGAGATGTGCATCTTACTGAATGTTCATGACTGCAGGGATGAGAAAGTCGGGAACCATCTTCCATTGTCCAACAGCCTCCCTATATCAAATGTGCCTGCTTTCACAACCTCACTCTCCCCACTTCTATCCACTTTGCTTCATTTAAAGGGACACTGCCTTAGAGATACTCTACGCAAGTAGTTTCAACTCTCAGAACCAATTTCTTTATCTATAAAAGAGAAATACAAATAATAATGGAATCTATTTCATTGGATCATTGTGAGGCTTAATCGAGATAAACCGTGTAAATAAAGTAAGTTATGTATTTGCTAAGTGTGTTACCTGTGATGATGAGGATGAAGGTGATCATGGGGGATAAAAAAGGTATTTGGACTCTATATGAAGGCCCCAGTCTCCACTTTCCTTGATTCATTACTTTTTTTTTTTTTTTTTTTTTTTTTTTTGGCTGAGTTGGGTCTTCGTTGCTGCGCGCGGGCTTTCTCTAGTTGTGGCGAGCGGGGGCTGCTCTTCATCGCGGTGTGCAGGCTTCTCATTGCCGTGGCTTCTCTTGTTGTGCAGCACGGGCTCTAGGCGCCTGGGCTTCAGTAGTTGTGGCACATGAGCTCAGTAGTTGTGGCTCACGAGCTCTAGAGCACAGGCTCAGTAGTTGTGGCGCACGGGCTTAGTTGCTCCGCGGCATGTGGGATCTTCCCTGAACAGGGCTCAAACCCATGTCCCCTGCATTGGCAGGCGGACTCTTAACCACTGAGCCACCAGGGAAGTCCTGATTCCTTACTTTTTTTTTTTTTTTTTTTGCGGTACACCAGGCCTCTCACTGCTGTGGCCTCTCCCGCTGCGGAACACATTGCATTCTCTAACTGCTGCAGGAGAGACAGCTCTCCCCCATCTGCAGAGGAGCTGGAGTGAGACAGTCCTAGTTTGCAGACCAGGCTGCACCACTCTTCGGTTTGTGGTCTTGAGCAATGGGCACGGTTTCCCCGAGCTTCAGCACACTGACGTTAGAGAGAAGAGCAGAACTGCATTCTCATAAGGATTACCATGGTGACAAAACACCAAACAAACTGCCGGGCAGACTAGCGGTTGCTAGGGGCTGCAGAGAGGGTAGGATTAACGTGGATGGGGTCTCCTTTGCGGGGCAATGAAAATGGAACTAGACGGAGGTGATGACTGAATGACACTGTGAATGTACTAAATGCCACCGAATTGCATACGTTAAAAATGGTTAACTTTACGTTTTGTAAATTTCACCTGAATAAAAAATATATATAAAAAGGAAGGAATTCAGTTCCTCAAAAAATCCTTTAGTTCTTAAAAACTAAATATCCAATCCAGCAATTCCACTTGCATATATATAACAAAAGAAACTGAAAGCAGGGATTCTAACAAGATATTTATACACCCATGTTCATAGCAACATTATTCACAATAGCCAGAAGGTGGAAACAACCCAAATAGCCATTGACATGAATGTGTAAGTGAAACGTGGTCTACACAAACAGTGGAATATTATTCAGCCATAAAAAGGAAAGATAGTCTGACATGGGCTACAGCATGGATGGATCTTGATGACATTACACGAAGTAAGATATGCCAGACACAGAAAGACAAATAATGTGTTATTCCACTGACACAAGGTACGTAGGATAGGGAAATTCATAGAGACAGAAAGTCAATTAGAAGTGACTAGGACCTAAGGAAAGAGAAAGTGGAGAGTTACTGCTTAATGGTTATAGGGCTTTTGTTTGAAATCATGAAAAAGTCCTGAAACTAGATGGTCGTGATGGTTGCACAATATGGTGAGTGTAATTAATGCCACTGAGCTGTGCACTTAAAATTGGTTTGCTCCTGCTTCCCACTAGCTATCTATTTTACATTTGGTAGTGTGTATGTGTCGATGCCACTCTCACTTCGCCCCAGCTTCCCCCTCCCTTGCCAAAAAAAATGGCTTAAATAGTAAATTTTATGTTTATGTAACACATTTTATTTTACCACGATTAGAAAATACTAAAAACAGTATTTTAAAGAGAGTAAATATAAAGTCCATCACACCTTAATTTATTTGTTCCCCCCATAGTGAAAGAAAGAAGTATGGCTTCTCCACGGCAGGCCACCTGAGTCTGGGCTCTATTTTCTTCTAGGGACTCTTTCCATTCCTACCATATCTGCCACGCCCGGTTCTGTGATTCCCTGGAATGAGTCTGTGAAGATCCTGTGCAGCGGAACTCCTGAGTCTTACCTGTACCAACTGGAGATCCTGGGAAACTCCACATACAAAGTGGTGGCGAAGAAACTGGGATTTCAGAAGACAGCTGAGTTTGTCATTAAACACATGGATACAAATACTGCAGGACGTTATCAGTGCCGATACAGAAAACAGTACAGCTGGTCAGTGCACAGTGAAGCCCTGGAGCTGGTAGTGACAGGTGAGCTGTCACTTGTCTCTGACCCTCAGCTCTTTTTTCCTTGCTTATTTTTTCAGAGATGCTATTTTTCCAGGGAAATGGAGGAGATACAACAGAGAGTTCCCACATACCCAGCGCCCAGGTGCGAACATTTTCCTTTAGTGCGATACACCCCTTACCATTAACGAACCAATACTGATACATTATAATGAGCCAAAGTTCATTGAGATTTCCTTAGTGGTTACCCAACATCCTTCATCTATTCTGGGATCCCATCCCACATTGTATTTAGTCGTCATGTCTCTTTAGTTCCCTCTTGGCTGTGGAAGTTTCTCAGACTTTCCTTGTCTTTGATGACCTCGACAGTTTTGAGGGGTGCTGCTCTGGTATTTTGCAGGATGCCCCACTATTGGAAGTTGTCTGATGTTTTACTCATGATAAGACAGGGGCTATGGATCATGGTGAAGACGACCATCAAGGCCCAATGCCATTTTTTTTTTTTTTTTTTTTTGCGGTACGCGGGCCTCTCACTGCTGTGGCCTCTCCCGTTGCGGAGCACAGGCTCCGGACGCGCAGGCTCAGCGGCCATGGCTCACGGGCCCAGCCGCTCCGCGGCATGTGGGATCTTCCCGGACCGGGGCACGAACCCGTGTCCCTTGCATCGGCAGGCGGACTCTCAACCACTGCGCCACCAGGGAAGCCCCAGTGCCATTTTCAATCATATCATAGCAAGGGTACGTACTATACCAATGAATATGGCTGTTGACGCTGAGCTCGCATACCCGGCTGAGATGGTGTTTGTCAGGCTTCTCCACTGTAACATGACTCTTCCTCCTACCCTCCCTTTCCATATGGAAGGAAATCACTATATGCAGCTCACACCTAAGGAGTGAGGAGTTATGCTCCTGCGGTATGCGTCCAGCCCTCAGTTTGAAGCTCTGTCCTCAGGGTGGCCTAACCCTGTGTTTCTAGAAGGTTGCACCCTGAGTTTCCAGGTTTTTCTACCTATTCTTTTTATACAAAGAATAAAAAGAATATCCTTCAGCCCCTGCCATAACTCCTCAAACTCTCTGGATGCCATTCCCTCTCTTCCCCAACATATGGCTTGTGATATTGTGACTTATACTAAGAAACATATATTTGGTCTTCATCCTCGTTCCTGGCACAGAGCTCCCCAAACCCTTGGGATTCCCTAAGCGGTGAGCAATAAAGGTGCCTTCATTTTCATAAGAAATCCCTTTCAACCACACCTGAGTTTATGTTAATGAGGTGACTTTTGGAAAGCACCTAAGGATGGGGGCCTGGTTGCCAGGGGTCATGGGACAGTTGGAACTTTCAGCCCCACCTCACCTGACCTCCAGAGAGGGCAGAGAGGCTGGAGGTTGAATCAATCACCAATGGCCAAAGTCTTAAAGAGTCGTGCCTACGTAATGAAGCCCTATGCATCTCTTCCATCTGGCTGTTCCTGATACATGCTTTCATAATAAACCAGAAATCCAGTAAGTAAACTGGTTTCCTGAGCTCTGTCAGCCACCCTAGCGAATAAATTGAACCCAGGAACTGGGACCTGGGAACTTCTGATTCATAGCCATTGAGTCAGAAGCACAGGTGACAACCTAGACTTTTGACTGGCGTCTGAAGTGGGGGCGGTCTTGTAGGACTGAGCTCTTAACCTGGAGCCCTAAACCTGGGGGATCTGACGTTATTGCCAGGGAGAGAGTGTCAGAATTGAGTTGACTTGGGCTTCCCTGGTGACGCAGTGGTTGAGAGTCCGCCTGCCGATGCAGGGGACACGGGTTCGTGCCCCGGTCCGGGAGGATCCCACATGCCGCGGAGCGGCTGGGCCCGTGAGCCACGACCGCTGAGCCTGCGCGTCCGGAGCCTGTGCTCCGCAACAGGAGAGGCCACAATGGTGAGAGGCCCACGTACCGCAAAAAATAAATAAATAAACAATTGAGTTGACTTGTGAGATGCCCAGCTGGGGTCTCATAATTGCTCGGCGGTGTGGGGAGAAACCCACACACTGCAGTTGGGAACAGAATCGTGTGGCACTTCTGGCTTTAGAGGCTAGATCGCTATCTCTCGAAGATGGCATCTCATCTGCTTGCTTGATCAGCTCTATCTACAGTAACTGGGGACAGAGTATAGATCCTGTAGTAGCGAAATGGGATGTTACCACCTCCCATTCCGCTGCAGCAGGAAATGTCAGCCTCTTCGCTTCTCTTAGCATGGATCCAACATGAGTGGCGGGGATCCAGGGGAATGGCACAAAATCTTGCTAACAGCTCACTCTCTGCTCTTTTAGGCTTGTATGACAAACCCTCCCTCTCCACTGATGGGTGCCTTGTGGTGATGCCAGGGGAGAATGTTTCCCTCCGGTGCAGTTCAGCACACAACTCATTCAATAGATTTTCACTGAGCAAGGAGAGAAGGGATGTTCTGTCACAGCACCAAAACGGGGGACGCTGGGGTGACTTCATTCTGGGTCCTGTGAACCTCAGCTTCTCAGGGATCTACACATGCTACAGCTGGTACAGTGGCAGCCCTTACGTATGGTCAGCCCCCAGTGATGCCCTGGAGCTTGTGGTCACAGGTAAGTGCACCCCCTCCCAGACGTATGTCCTCTTCCTCGGGGCTCTGGCTGACTGTTCAGGGCCTTGGCATCAGGCGGGAATACAAAGAGATGCACTAAGAAAGAACAGTGGGGCAGGAGAGAGTCATTACTCAGAGGACCACGAAGAGAAAAGAAGCACTCCTCTATCCATTCTTCTGTCAATGGACATTTAGGTTGCTTCCATGTCTTGGCTATTGTAAAAGCACTGCAATGAACACTGGGGTGCATGTATCCTTTCGGACCATGTCTTTCTCCAGATATACGTCCAGGAGTGGGATTGAAGGATCATACGGTAGCTGTATTTTTCATTTTTTAAGGAACCTCCATACTGTTCTCCACAGTGGCTGCACCAATTTACATTCCCAGCAACAGTGTAGGAGGGTTCCCTTCTCTCCACACCCTCTCCAGCAGAAGATGTGGTATATATATACATTGCAATATTACTCAGCCATAAAAAGGAATGAAATAATGCTAATTTGCAGCAACATGGATGGACCTAGAGATTGTCATACTGAGTGAAGTAAGTCAGACACAGAAAGACAAATATCGTGTGACATCGCTTATATACGGAATCTTTTCTTTAAAAAAATGACACAAATGAACTTATTTACGAAACAGAAACAGACTCACAGACTTAGAGAACTAACTTATGGTTACCAGGGGGGAAGCGGGGGAGATAGTTAGGGAGTTTGGGACTGACAGGTACACACTGCTATATTTAAAACGAATAACCCACAAGGCCCTACTGTACAACACAGAGAACTCTGCTCAATACTACGTAACAACCTAAATGGGGAAAGAATTTGAAAAAGAATAGACACAGGTATAACTGAATCACTTTGCTGTACACCTGAAACTATCACAACATTATTAATCGACTGTACTCCAATATAAAATAAATATTTTTTAAAATGAGAAAGAGAGAGAAGCACTTCTCACCCACAACACATCTGACTTTCACATCCTCTCGAGTCCTCCAGTGTCCTTTGAAAACACGTGGCCTGTTGAGAAAGGAGAGGCCGACGTTTGGAGTCACATTAACAGGTGCTGTTGAGATAGGAGATGCCAGACAGAAGCTTTGACGAATCCACTTCCTTTTTCACATGCTTAGTTGCAGCTGAGAATCCTGAAACTAACCTATCATACTAGAATCCACTGGGAGTGGGTGACTGAGGAAGACTCTAAAAAAACTCTATGGAGGGACTTCCCTGGTGGTCCAGTGGTTAAGACTCGGTGCTTCCACTGCAGAGAGCACAGGTTCCATCCCTAGTCGGGAAACCAGATTCCAGATGCCGTGCTGTGCAGCCAAGAAAAAACCAAAACAACAAAACCTCTCTCAAGAGCTTCATTTCAGGGAATTCACTAGTGGTCCAATGGTTAAGACTCGGGGCTTTCACTGCCAGGGGCCCGGGTTCAATCCCTGGCTGGGTAACTAAGATCCCGCAAGCCACGCAGTGTGGTCAAAAAATAAAGTTTAATTTTTATATTGTTTGCACGCATCACTGCCCAGAGGGAGAAAACAAAGAGTTACAGCAGAGGGAAGCAGCTGCTGTCTGCTGAGTGGGAATGACCACACTTGTCTCTCTTGCGTACCTTGTCCAGTCATTCTACAAGCTAAGCAAATATGATAGTCATGGCGCTGTAAGATCATACAGACAGAATGGTCTTTTCAATGAATGTTGCAGGGACAATTGGGAAACAGTGGAGGAGGGGTGAATTCATTAGGCTTTTCCTTTAGAGTAGATAATCAATGAATCTTGTTTTAGAAATCACCTCCTATCCAGCATCAAGGTGGTATTATCTTCTCAAACTTGAAACGTTTTGCACTTTGCAATTAGGAACTCCAAATCCACTTGGAACTGATTTCTGTATTTTAACAGGAGAGAGTTACTAGGATTTCTGAGCATTGTACTTTCACACTATTTTATTACATCCTTGAGAGGAACAGAGGCCCATGAAGTCCATAAAACAAACAGAGAAATCTTTTTAAAGCTTCAGTGAACAGAAATGTCTAGTGAAAGGTCACACAATAGTGGAGATAAATTTTCCCTAAGTTTTTGCGTTCTAGTTTTTTTGTCTTGCTTTGTTTTTGTTTTTCGTGTTTTGTTTCTTCGGCGGCATGGCGTGCGGGATCCTGGTTCCCTGAGCAGGGATTGAACCCGTGTCCCCTACAGTGGAAGCACAGAGTCTTACCTCCTGGATGGCCAGGGAAGTCCCAAATTTTCTCTAAGCTTATCTGAAATGTTTCTCCTACTTGCTTCCCAGATACCAGCCACCCTGTACCCTTTGTCATGTAAGAGAAAGGAACACACATTGTTATGTGGGGTGAAGATGACGTAGACGAGAGACTTTCAGACTCTGGATCCATGAAGATGTTGCAGGGATATGATTAGACAGTCAGTGACACTGCCACGTGAGGAGGGAATGAAAAGCAAACACAACATGCTCATACCCACCTCCTCCCCGTTTTACAAGACTCCCCGGGGAACCACACCCTTGGACCTACGTTTAATATGAAGCAGGGTGCTCATGAATGCACGCACGTGTGGAGGAGGGGGTCCCAGTGAAACCACAAATAGGGAAATGAGCTCCCTTTCCAGGGCTCTTGGGATGGGACGGAACAAAACATGACCAGTGACCATTCATCTCTTCTAATCATGTCTCTAGATACCACGAACCAAGATTACACGACGGAGAACTTGATTCGAATGGGCATGGCAGGGCTGCCCCTGGTGGTTCTCTTGGCCATTCTGGCTGAAAATTGGCTTGGCCATCAGGTTCCACACGAGGAAGACCAGCAAGAACTGCCTGAACTGAGCTGCAGTAGACAGAAAACTCAGACAGAATGGACCTTTGGACTAACTCCAAAGGGTCACCAGGTAGACACCAGGCACTGAATACAACAGCCAGCACTTGTGGAGTCCTGGAAAGCTACGTGGAGAACACAAGGGAGAACGAGGTACTAACAAGCTTGGATCCCTTTGCAAACCAGTCAAATGGTATTTTCTTATATGAATCTGATATATTTGCAGCCCACCCTGCTAGACTTTGGTGATAAAATTCTCAGTACAGGGCCTTCCCTGGTGGTGTAGTGGATAAGACTCCACGCTCCCAATGCAGGGGGCCCGGGCTCAATCCCTGGCCAGGGAACTAGATACCACATGCATCGCGCAACTAAGAGTTTGCATGCCACAACTAAGGAGCCCGCCTGCCGCAACTAAGGACCCCACGTGGTGCAACTAAGGAGCCAGAAAGCTGCAAGTAAGGAGCGCACTGGCCGCAACTAAGACCCAGTGCAACCAAATAAATATATTTTTTAAAAATTATCAATATAATCTTTGCTTAACTCTTCCTGTGATAAAAAAATAATGCAAAGCATTCTCAATTCTCCTTGCTGACTGTTTTTCACCCCTCCTCCACAGAAGTTCTGGCTCATATATTCATTTTGTCTTGAACTTATCAGCAAAACCAAATGCCATTACATCCTCCTGATAGAAGACCTTAACACCTAGAATTCCATTAATTACGAATGCTAATAATTAATTATGAATACTGTCCACTCAACATACCATATATTCCACGACATAACTGTGCTTCTAGCTTTCCCTA